AGGGGGAAAATTTTTGTCTTCATTTTTGAAGAAGCATTCTTTTCTCTTGAAGTTATTTTAAAAGCCCTTTCTCTATGCCCAAGCATATTTTTCACATGTATTGCTTTAAAAACTTTCTAATAGTTCATAACTTTGCAATGCCGAGAACTTTCAGATCTGAATAGAAAGAATGACATTTTAAATGTTCATTTCTCTTTAATTTTTTTAAAATGTTTCTTCTATGCAATTTTGAGATAATTCTGAGAAAAAGTTTAATACAAAACCAATCCATATGATTTGTGATGATACTTTAAGAAGTAATAAATTACATAACTAGGGTTCAAACAATACATATTAGGTATAAAATAAAAAAGTTAAAATGCCATTATAGTTAAACTTGTAAAATAATAAGTCTTAAACTTGTAAAATAATAAATGTTACTACTTTTTGGGGGGGAGCATAGCTTTGTACAATTAAAACTACAAACAACTGGTCATCTAACTTAACTAACGGACATATCGGACAAACTGAAAGTAAGTGCCAGTTCATCTACTTGTCTTCAAAAACAAGGATTACAGCATTGTAGAATGAAAGTACATTTGGCACTAATAATTTCTATGTACTTTGGTGATAAGTGGTAAATTCTTTGGTTCTCAGTTATATTCATTCTAAAGGAATTACAAGATTCCTTCCCCCCCACTCTCACTTAAAAAAGGAGGGTATCTTCTAGTATCTTGCTTTTGCAAGTAAGATACTAGAATTCTTCATTTCTATAGTATGATGTTTAGATAAAAAATAATCGTATTTCCTTGTTATTTGCAGCCTCTGTTTTTTAAATGCTAAGTATTAGTACACGCTTATCGTCAAGTTCATGTTTAATTTTCACATGTGGTTTTGGCTATTACTATGGCATCAGAAGGTTTTTCTCATTCTGAGGGCTTTCACAAGATCCTGATTTTTATTCTGCCACTTGGTGAAATACTTCATTCTTTCGAACAGCTGCTGTTAGATCAACAAACAAACAAACAAACAAACAAAAAAAAAAAATAAATAAATAAAATAAAATAAAAAAAAAAAAAATAAATAAATAATAATAATAATATTTCCCCCCCCCCTCTCTCAGTTCACAGCAAAATACCTCTAACCTGCTTTTTCCGGTTTCTTTATTTTATATTTTTGCCAACAAATGCCTGGATAAAAATCAACTCTCGACCCCTCTACATGGTTGACAATTACTGACATAACTGTAATTGCCTCTACATTTAGAATTAGAACAAGAGAGAAATCAACAGTTTTTTTTTTTTTTTTTTGGGGGGGGGGGCATGCCAAAATATCTTGTACTGTGAAAGAACCCTGCTGGCTTTGTTTTTTCCCTGCAAGAACAGATTTCCGTTTATGTTCTCAATTTTTTCAAACCCATCCATTCCCTTACTTGACTGTTAGATTAGATGTATAGAATACATCTCTTTCATACACAGTAGTATTTTCATAAATGCCGAGTTCTTTGCCTACCACTTAATCAACGTCAGTTCCTCTGCCCCAAAGTAAATTAATCACTGCACAGTTGGAAACAGTATTCTAAAACCATTGAATCAGTTACCAAAATGCATGTTTTCCCTTCATTTGCAACTACTTTTCGTGCTGAATCCCAAATGCTTTTGCTAATATGCAGTTCACTACAAGGGTCATTTTCGCATATTCGAATTTCTTTCGCTCTTTTTTTTTAAGTGTTAACACGTGGAATTCTCAGAAATTTTCTCATGACAAGAGAATTAGAAGTGATTGTGAATATTCATATGAAAATATATACATATGTGTGATTTACTTGGAACTCTTTGGTCCAAGCAAACTATAAAAGACTGTCATTTGGACTACCGGTCATTTGAAGATAGTTTGTGTTGCTGATTATTGACAATTTTGTTATCATTTAAAAAATGAGGGCAGTAATAAGGAAGTACCAAGATAAATGCATATTCTTCTATTTTTAACACTATTATTTATTGCCTTTGCTGAGAAATACCACGGATGGGAGTGAAGATCATATTTTTTACAAGACTGGTACTGGTGATTAATGAAGTTAATGATGAAATGAATGTGTGACATTCACACAGACCTGCCTCTAGCAAACAGACCTCTGAAAATTGCTAACATCGCAAATTGGGATTAAATAAAATATTTTTAATAACCTGTAAACTATTTTGAACTTTTATATAAGCCCACTCCCAAATTTCAGAAGCAAAAACTTAACCTAAAATTCTTGGTTCACAGAAATGCATAGTAGGATGTGCACAATAGCTCATTCCATAGTTTTAAGTGAAAAAGAAGAGAAAATAAAACATAATATACATATATCTTCATATAATTGACAATATTTAGCCATCACTGCCTATTGCCATCTGCCTTATAGTAGATTAATCCCTCCTAAATAAAAATCTTCTAGTTTAGAATTAAAAAAATCTTGTAACATTGTTTTCATATCATGCACATCATCTAGGTTTTGAAGCAGAAATAAATTCAGCAACATTTGAAAAAGATGGCACTCCAAAGGAGCAAAGTCTGAAGAATTTACCAAGTCGAATAGTTCTTTCCCAAGTGATTAAAGCAACACAAGGTCTGGAGTTTTCATGATAAAAAATAATGCCTTGGCAATTAACTAGAGCTGGCCACTTATAAGTTTTTGGCTTAGTACTACATGTCGGCATTAATGACTTTATTATATGGGGCTTATCTCAGTGGAATATTCCCTTTACATCCCATAATGCACATAATAAAACCCTTTGGGACTATTCGATCCCAAATGTGAGAGGAGCAGACTTTGCGATGCAACACATAGTCCTTTAACATTACCATAAAGTATTCATCTCTTACCACCCATAATAATTCAATCAAAAATGGTTCATTTCCAAAAAACAAGGAAGCAAAAAAAGGTACTGATTTATGTATGTTGTAGCATTTCAGAAAGCTGATGTGGATGAACCCAATCATCTTCAAACTATTCTTCTGAATACAAACTGTATTTTCACCTAATTCCTCAACAGTTACACGGGAGATATTCAATATGGCTTGGCCCAGGATCTACTCAGAAACCACTGATAGATATCTGAAATATAGCTGATTTTTGCAGCTTGCGTCCCTATTCCTGAATATTTTAAATTGGTAAAGGCATGTGCTGTCATCAAAAGCTTCCTTCCTGTAGATATGATGAATGTTAAGCTAGGCCTGCAGTACTCCCTCTATCAAACTCGTATAACAGACAGTGTCTGATACGTTCCTCATTCTTTGTCATTTTAAATCATTTGAAATTTTTTTAGCGAGAATTTACTGAACTCTTTACTTTTAAAAGCATGTCGACTTTTTATTGCACATTTAATGTGCGTATAAAGGTGAAATCATGCATTATATATATATATATATCACACCCTTCTGTAAAAAAAGGGGGGACAAGAATACCCGCCAACCTACAATCTCAGCCCATTGGCCTCTTCAGATTTTATAGCTTCGCACGACGACGTCACTATACGATAAGGAAGGTTGGCTTAGGCACGAAGGGATTTTGCGCCCTTTTCCAAAAATGTTTCGAAAGCTGAGGACGGAACCTCTCAGGTCAGTTTTTTCGTTTCTATTGTCTAGGTTTTTGGTCCTAATAAAACCCTGCGACGTTTCTTTACTTACAAAATTGATTACAATTGATTTGTTTACAGCACCATTCTTCTAATAAAAGTTACATATTCTTTAAGGTTTACAGGACCAGCTCGTACGTTATGATTTTTGACTAATAGCAGACCGCTATTTATTTTATTTTATTATTTTTCTACTTTGATTTTTATTTTTATTTTACATTGCTCGGAATTACAATAGCTTTTGACACCTTAATGTGTATTTCAGTGGACGCGTCGGGAAAAAGGAACAGAGCAGTGGAGCTACAAAAAAGGATTTATTCCAAAGAAATTTTTTCGGAAATACTAATGTTCTTTTATAAAATTTTTTTCGCATTAAACAAGAGCTTCAATGGTCTGTTTCGGCGAAACGCGTAATGGTATTTAACCTAGTTCGTAAAACAGTTTTTTCCCCTTGAAAAGCCAACTGAGAGTATGAGTGGGTTAATTTACCATTTTTACGCTATTTAATTATTGTTTATTGTATATTGTATTGATGCATTTTGTGTCTTCATTTTATTTTTTAATTTTAATTTTATTTTTTTATGTATAGGCATATATGTATGGCATTTTACAATCTATGTTTTTTGTACCTTCCTTATATATATATATTTTTTTCCGTCGGTCTATTTTTCATGCGAGTTAACTTTTCACATTTCACAACGGTCAGATTAATTAATTTTTTTCGTGCATTAGCAAGTCTTCCAGCACTAAATTTGGCAGTTTTATCACGTGTTTACAGTTTTTTCCAATTTTTCCAGACAAATTTCTTATTATTTATGTAGTACTGTGTTACAATATTACGTGGAGCTACAGCTCCTGGTAACTTTTTAGCAAGTTCGCTGCAATGTTTCTACCTACTACTATTCTTTCAAATCTTTTAGCAGCATTATGCGCAAAAGTTTTGAGACCAGATAGGTCTTACGTCTAATTACCAGTTAGCTTTACTTTTTCTTTTTCAATTATATATATATATATTGGCTCAAAATTTCAATCATCACAGTTTCATAAACAATGGAACAAACTTTTGCATCAACCCAATAGAATAACTTACAGGGTAAATAAACTTAAGACTGCATGAAAAATAAATAAATTTTATGAAACAAATATTTAAAAAATATGTTTAGATCGAATTATTTGAGTCTGATAATGCATACACTGAGAAGGGATGCCTTCTTGGTGGCTTTTGTAAGGAAAATGGTATCTGTATCTTGCTTGAACTAAATAATCTCTATTAATAATCAAATATATATATTTGTATTATAATATTAATAATAATCAATATTCAAATATATTGATTATTATTAATATTATATTATACTAATAATCAAATATTCATTGTATTAAATTTAAATGAAAACTTACCAGCAATGTTTCCTAAAGCCCATACAGCTTGCTCTGCTACGTTACTATGAGGAGAGAACAGCAAAGAAATGAATATTGGTATCGCACCAGCATTTACTACAGCTCTAGTCTGGTTTGAATTGCCAGAAGCTATATTTGTCAAAGCCCAGCAAGCTTCAAATTGGAGAGGTACACTAGGAGAAAATAGTAATAAAAATTCAATGAACACATGATAAAAGTATGCCACCACAAATACGATCGAGCCAAAATTTGTCTGAGATAACATATTAAATTTTAATTTTTGAATAAAAGGCATATTCCCCCACTAATTCATAAATGATGTCTAGCCAAATTTTGCTTTTATTTACAAAGTACCACCCTCTTCCAAAAAAATCTGATGTGTACACCACATGACTTACTTGTACGGAATATTAAATTATACGCACTTTTTCCTGCATTTCATTTAAACTTATTGGATTGGATTAAATCTACTTCGTCGACAGCGCACAAACCATAATAGAATAAATTCGCTCATTAAAATTCACTATATTTGTTTAACATAGAGACACTCTGGCCCTACATTCACTTAACAGCGTTACATCTCATTCATTTTATAACTCAAAATGCACAAAATTTATATCACCTGAAGAATTACCTAATTATTGCCCCATGTTCTATTCAAATACTATAATAAATCTAAAATGATGTATAAAAGAAATTAAACAAACAAAAAATAAGAGTTTTTTTTCACAGACAATTCAGTATTTCTCATCAATTAATTGAGTTCTCACTTCATGACAAGAAAAAAATACATAAAACCTCTAAATACCTATATTAAAAATTATGAAGTAAATCTTAAACACTTATTTCCTCGAATAAATTCCAGAACGGTTTAAGCATGAATTAATTCACAATAATAAAAGAAGGCATTATCTTTGACGTTGCAAAGTTTCTCTAGATTGGCAACAAATCCACCATTCTGCCAAGTTTCAAATGTAAACAAACATTGCTGCTATAGTAAAAACAATTAGGCTTAGCCTCACTTAAACAACTTTTAAATTGTTGGTAATTCTACAAATATTGCATGCAGATTTATTAAAGGCATAAAAACCTTAACCGGAAGATAAGAACAACATAACTCGATCATTTTTAAAGCAAAAAAATGCACAATTTAAAAACATATAAGAATAAAGAAAATGAGATCACTGAGCTAAGTAACATAGTGGATATATATATATATATATATACTTTTGGTGTGGCCGACTGCAACCAAAATAGAAGTTGCATATCTACATATTATAGCAGTCCTATATACAAAATTTCAATGTTTTGAGGTTTTTTTTTTTTTCGAGTTATGTGAGATACATACGTACGCACAGACTGCACGAAAAATTCTCTTGAAAATTCATTTTAAATCAGCTTTATTTTTTGGGGGAAAAGAGTCTTATTCTGTTCTTATGTACAGAAGTCCTTTAAAAACATCATTAAATTACATTCGATAGAGGTCAAAATGGATATTTTCATCGAAATATGATACCCAAAATTTTTCACGATTACAATACTTCCTTTTTATTCCTTACAAGGAAGTAAAATGGAGAGCCAACATGAAAGTTAACCTGTAAAATTTGCCTTAAAACCTTTTTATATGTGTGTAAGTTACCTTATTGCTGTATGATTCAAGAATTTTTAAATAATATTATAAAAATATTATTAGATACTCATAAATTTGAGTAGTAACAAAAAGGCTCAGTTGAAAACATAACTATTTCATATTTTTGTTATTTTAAAACACAAATCATAATTCAAGAGTTATAAATTAAAAAAAATAAAGAATATCAAAATAATACTTATATAAAAACCATACAAATGCAAAACCCAAAGAATTTAAATCTTTTTTTATTTCCTCAAAGAGGCTTTCAAAAATGTATCTCTTATGCTGCCATAGACAAATAGAGAGCATTTATTATATGCACATACACATATATGTGTAACATTACATTTCTATTTTTCCATGATTAAATTTCAATTTACTTTAAAAATACTATTAGGAGATAATATGTAATATTGTCATATACAATTTTCTTATTTACATACAATAAAAAATATAGTTATTTTTTCCTGTACCTACACCTTCCTATTAAAAAAAATCAAAATTCTGACAAATTCTTTAATTTCACTAATTTGGCTTAAACTCAAATTGCTAGCTTGGCATCATTCTTCTTACTTGAGTAAATGATGAAACACCTTTGCATTTATTAATTATTTTTATTGAACTGGAGTTTGATTGTTCCCCTTGAAAAGTCAACCAATTAGCGATCAATGACGATAATTACTTAGTTTATTAATTTTCAATTTACTTTAAAAGTACTATTAGGAGATAGTATACTCAATTTTATTTTAATAAATAAATTATTATTATATTAGTTTGCAGCTATTGCACAAGTATTAGGAATTTTATTTTGATTTCAATTAATTCAGTCTTAGTTATAAGGTTAATTATACATTATAGGTTATAAATCACAAAGCATGAGATTTCACGAGGATTCAAATAGATGCTTTTTAATCAAACACATATTATGCATTTTTGCTACTTGGAGATACTTGGACTTATTTCTTTCCCCACATTTTTGGCTAATAGAAGAAAATTGAGCAATCGGGAATAGAAATAAACAGTTCCTAATTTCACGAACAAATCCTGCAAAAATCCATTGCACAGGAGCACAGCCTGCTCCCCCCTTTATGCTTTATGACTAAGCTTGTACGAGTTCCACAATTCTGTAGCATTCATCTATTTTAATAATAGTACAGTACAAAGTCCGAAATGCTGACTCGTCGGGACTTCGGCAATTCCGGATATTATTTCATTAGTTTAAATCTAGCAAGATAGCATATGAAATCGTGATTTATGAAATAATGAAGTATTTATGATCTAAAGGGTATCAAAATTTCTTTCAATGTAAGTTGTGTAAGTCGTTTTTAGTGCTAATACTTTCTCTTTAACCCATCAACAAGCCCGCCTCTCGGAACGAAATGCTTTGAAAACGGCCGCGTTGTCAGACAACAAACCCCTCCAAAAAAATCGCTTTCGTTTTCTGAAATCTCTCTAAGATGGCCCAGCCTAAGGCAGTATGTTTGCTTCCCCTTAGTGTGATGGATAAGCCATAAAATTGCCTCCCCGGTATTGAATGGCTTGCGTTTCGTTTCGTCTCCCTCCTCTTTCTTTGTACTAGTAGCCTGTAGACTTGTTTCTTTTAACATGTGACGGCCGAATTTTCCGAAATCTTTTTAGAATTTTAGCTTCCAAGCTTGTAAATTTTCAATTATTCGACATGTTTTATTGGGCAGTATTTTAAGAAAGATCATTATTTATTTTGTTACACAATTTTTTACTGTTTACTAATCTATTTTATTTAGTTTTAGTAGGCCAATTTATTTTTGGAAATTAAATTTTACCGACTGTTTTCATCACATTATAAGTCCATATATATTTACGATGAGAGTACAACATTTATCAGGAATTTTTGGAAAATTTGGCATACGTATTTATATTTTACCATTGAATTTTTTCCACAAGTTGTTCGTTTACAGTCGAGCTCATCCTCGTAAACGCTTGATCTTTTCAGCATGGAAATGGCAAGCAATAATCTTCCTAATATTTTTCGTTATTTTACAGCAATTTCTAGAATTTTGGCGGTTTTCTACAAATATTTTGGGTACGTTTAGCTATTATACAGTTGCTACTAATGTGGAATTTAAAGCCAAAAATGTATTCCTTCGTTGATTTGAGAGATCGCATTTCGAATTTAAGTGGAAGTTTAAATGAATTTGATACAATCTTAGCACAGACTAGAAGAATTATCATTAAATTACATTCGATAGAGGTCAAAATGGATATTTTCATCGAAATATGATACCCAAAATTTTTCACGATTACAATACTTCCTTTTTATTCCTTACAAGGAAGTAAAATGGAGAGCCAACATGAAAGTTAACCTGTAAAATTTGCCTTAAAACCTTTTTATATGTGTGTAAGTTACCTTATTGCTGTATGATTCAAGAATTTTTAAATAATATTATAAAAATATTATTAGATACTCATAAATTTGAGTAGTAACAAAAAGGCTCAGTTGAAAACATAACTATTTCATATTTTTGTTATTTTAAAACACAAATCATAATTCAAGAGTTATAAATTAAAAAAAATAAAGAATATCAAAATAATACTTATATAAAAACGTATTTATATTTTACCGTTGAATTTTTTCCACAAGTTGTTCGTTTACAGTCGAGCTCATCCTCGTAAACGCTTGATCTTTTCAGCATGGAAATGGCAAGCAATAATCTTCCTAATATTTTTCGTTATTTTATAGCAATTTCTAGAATTTTGGCGGTTTTCTACAAATATTTTGGGTACGTTTAGCTATTATACAGTTGCTACTAATGTGGAATTTAAAGCCAAAAATGTATTCCTTCGTTGATTTGAGAGATCGCATTTCGAATTTAAACGGAAGTTTAAATGAATTTGATACAATCTTAGCACAGACTAGAAGAATTATTTCTCTGTGTTGGATGGATTTTTCTCACTTTTCTGCATTTGATAGATTAAATGCATAAAGCAGACACGCACAAATAGAATTTAAAAAATTTAAATAAATTTCTATTTTCATTTAAAATTTGTCATTATTAGCACCTCCCGCCCGCAGTTTTATGCAATCATAGGATTTTCCGAATTCTATTAGGTCGTTAACATAATTTCAAGGCCGAATAGAAAAGTGATAATATGGAAAGACTATGTCTTAAGTACCAATAGCCAAGTATTTGTAATTAAATAAAAATAAATATTGAATACCAGCCGCTTTTTTATTTATTTTTAGTCATATAACAAAAGATAAACAAGAATACTATTACATCTAAGAATTATTTAGTAAATTATTTTGCTAATGTTATATGAATGATGAAACACGGTAAAAATGTTTTAATGATTGAATTCACCGTTAAAAATCAAACAAACCCCCAAAATTCCTTTTTCCCAAAACTTCGTAAAATGTTTTGATTAAATATGATTTGAATAAGTTTTCCAATTCTGTTTTGAGTGATATAAATGAGGATATAAATATTATTAAATTAGGATATAAATATTAGGATATAAATTATTATTAGTAATAATTTTTGTATTATAACTTAGCAGAATATC